TAGATATAGATATAGATATAGATATATTAAAAAGGGACAATATATAAACAACAAAAATTATAACCGGAGACAAGTTACAATTTGCAATATCAATTTTCTATACATATACCTTGCAACAAGTTGCATGTAAAATGTCTCAATTCTGAAAACACATTAACCCAAATAAATGTATATCAATACAAAATATTACTTACAGTACAACTTTAAAACGGGATTCCAAAAAGAGTATCTCCAAAACTTATTCCTGGCAGCTGATAATTTGAGAAGTAGGAGACAGAGTATTATACCAATCCAGTTTTTTTCAGTGTGTATCAAAAGGTGCAACTCCACAGTAGAAATAATGCAATTTCACACCACTTTAAGTGCTGTAGCTCCTTCCTATGAAATCCTAGGATTAGCAGTTTTCTGAGATATTTGTCCTTCTCTGTCAGAGAGCACTGGGGCCACAACAAACTACAATTCCCAGAATCCCAAAGCATTGAGCAGTTGCAATTAAAGTGGGATCAACCTGGATTATTTCTGCAGTGTGGATGCAGCCCCATAATGGAGCTTATTGCTCGCCAAATTAAACCGGCTTACCTCTTCCGGCTTCAATCGTGGATCCAGGATATCCCCGGATGTTATCAGAAATAAATTGCCGGCAATTTAGCTGTGATGCCACCGGCCGAATCCATCCCGGGTTGAAGCTTCACTCAGCCAGCACTTTTACGAAGTCGAGGAGCTTCTGACTTCAAAAATTGGCTGGCTCAGCAAGGGATGAGGGATGGATGCTGGGATGGATTCATCTGGCGGCACTGCGGCTAAATCGGTGGCGCTTTATGTCTGATAATATCCAGGGGCATCCCGGATCCAAGATTGAAGCCAGAAAAGTAAGCCAGCTTAATTTGGCAAATGATAAGTTCCATAGGTTCACCTTAGGGTTGTCACAAGTCAGAAATTACTTGAAAGCACACATTATTTTAGTATGTTTTTAATTTGTGCTGGTTATATTTTGTGGGAGAGCCAGCGTAGCGTAGTGGTTTGAGTGCCTGACTGAGACTCTGGAGACTAGGGTTCGATTCCCAGCTTGGCCATGAAACCCACTGGGTGACCTTGGGTAAGTCACATTCTCTTAGCCTCAAGGGAAGGCAATGGCAAACCTCCTCTGAACAAATCTTGCCATGATAGGGTCACCTTAGAGTTGTTATAAGTTGGAGACAACTTGAAGGCACACAACAATAGCAACAATATTTTGTAAGTCTGACACCCTTTATGGAAGGAAAGGCAGATATGATATGATGATGACAATGATGATGTTACCAAACAGATTTTCAAAAATTATTTCCAAATTAATTGGCAGAATAAATCCCACTGACTGAAGTAGGACTCATTTCTGAATATTCATGGAATCAGACTTCATGAGCACTAAGACACTGACGGATTCTTTCTCCTGTAATAGCATGACTTCTGCACATACATGCAGCTGGAATATGCCAAACAGGATGGATCATCTACCCATCTGAAAAAGGTTGCCTTCTCACTTCCTGCTACAATACAAGAGATCCCACATGGAGAGCCTGTGGCACGCATTTGCTCACTGCCGGATAGCACACTCATAACAGCCCGAGAAGATGGAATTATTTCCTTTTGGTCACCAGATCTCAAGTTAAAACGAAGCAAGATAGTTTTTGTATGTCACATTTTTCTCCTGATAGAACTTCCATAATTCTTTATTCTTTGTCTAGATTCAAGGTAAACTGAGATTTCAAAAGTTCCCTTGACTCTCCAATAATTCATATCTATAGTCTGTATAGTCGCAACTAAGGTAGATAGACACACTGAGTCAGTGGAGCCTACAGAAATGCTGACTTGATGCAATGGCTCTACTTTTGTTGGAGTGTAACAATTGGATTTAGGTTTATGGTTTGATTCTTTAGAACAGTGGTGGGCAAGATCAAGCTCTTCCTGCTGCTAAAATTGCTACCATGGCACCCAGTGCCACTGCCATGAATGCAATAGAAAAACCAATCATTTTTGCTTTGTTTTAAAGCAGATTTGTATTCCCACTCATCCTCCTAGAAGTGTGATTCTGTTTTAAAAGAAGATATTGAGTAGTCAGTAGTAGGACTCATTTCTGAATATGCATGGAATCAGGCTTCATGAGCATGCCCCTAAGTTTAACCCTCAACTTATCTAAGGGTCATATCAAAAGCCATAATTTTGCCCCCAAACCTGCCCTCAACTTATACATGAGTCCAACTTAAAGTCAAGTAGATACAGTGCTTCCTTATCCAATTTCCCCTTCCTTACCCTTTCCTCTATATCATCCTGGTTCCAACTGTTTTTCAAATTTTGTTTTGTAACAATGATAGCCTGACTTAGCATTTATCATTCTAAAATGGCAACCAATGCTTAACTTTTATTTTTATTTTTAAGGATAAAACTCTCAGAAAATCAAAATGGCTGATGGATTTCACTGTCATGACACCCTACAATAAATTAATCCTGGGAACTGGGTAAGTATCTCATACGCAAAAACAAAAGCTTTCCACCAGAATTTCTTTCATCCACAACTTCATTAAGAAAAGTCATGGAAAGAAACCATTTGGAAACTTGGATGGAATTGAAGAGACGCCATCGTGACAAAGGGCCTCTGCAGATGGGCCTTTTGCGGCGTGTTGGAGGTAGGGGAGGAGAGGGGCAGCCGCACGCCGGCTGCCCCAACCCCTCCCTGAAGACATCCTGATGCCACGCACCATTACGCATGGCAGGTGGCATCAGGACGTCCTCCCAGTGCAGTGTCTTCACGCACTGTGCTGGAAGAGGTAGAGAAGAGCTGCACACCAGCTCTTGCTGCGTCCCTACTGCTGGCTCCGAAAGGACTGGCATTATAGCACTCCTTTCTGGGCCGGCAGAAGGGTGGATTGGGGTTGAGACGTGGGGCAGCCTCGGCCCCAATCTTCTGTTTCCCAGGGTGGCCCATGGCTACCCATCTGCATCCCCCCATAGACAATGAGCTATAACTTTGCACCTAATTCAAAAAAGCAGACCTGTGATTAGGGACATTATCACATGAGCCCTGTTCTTGCTGCGATCATGGTCTGATTCCCATTATGGTTTAAACTGGTTTGCAAACTGGTTTGAAGCAGTTTAAATGACTCTGATTCAAACTTGAACCGAATCGCTGAAGCGGTTTGGAGAGGGCGGGCCATGCGCTAGACCCATTTAACACATGTCTTTTTGACGCTGTTTTTTCCCCACGTCTTTTTTGATAAATCAATTCCACCAAGTGTGAACCAGATGTGGATCAGAATCGATTTAAATTTGCCCTTTAAATTTGCCAGCCAGCTGAATCGATTCATTCTTGATTTTTTCTTTTTTTATCAACAAATACCAGGGGACATTTTAAAAGCAGTGGGATAATAGAGAATTAATCAGGACTGTCCCTGTCAAACTCACCTTTGTCTCAGTTACTGCACACAGCTGTTTGGCCTATTTATGGGAAACATATGTGTACAGCTTATGATGGTAAAGTATATCATATTGTAATTTTGTATCAGGGATCGTGAACTTCAGCTCTATGAAAGCTCCAACTTTGAACCCTACCTTCAGATTAGTGGTTTGGAAGCATTACCTTTGAATGTGGATTACTGGTAAGACATTCCAGTTTCATATATTGTGGCAGTTATCAGTCAATAATCACAACATACTTTTGTATATGTCACTATATGTATTATTAGATATGACCCATTTTTCAGCACACAGAAAAGTATTTATTTTTTTGAAGTCAGAGCTTAGAAAAGCTACTTCTTAAAATGTATTGTGTTTCTTTAGGTTTTTGTGTGTTTTTCGGGCTGTGAGGCCATATTCTAGAAGAATGTATTCCTGACATTTACCCTACATGTATGGTTAGCATCATCATCTTTCTCTTGTAGCAGAAAAATGGGACCAGAGACCAAGGAGTAAAAGAAAGTGAATAGCTTATTTTTAAAAAGTAAGCCAGCAGGCCCAGCAGGAAATAACTTTCCAGAGGTGCTGAGCCCTGAACTGAGCTACTAAGGATCTTATGTATACAAAGATCATTTCCCTCCCTCGTTCCTTGGGTAACTAGTTTCATAATATTCAGCACTTCTTACTTGAGCAGACATTGTTTGCAGAACAAGAAATCTATATAGAACAGAGGAGATGTTTACAGAACAGGAAGTCTTATCAGAGTGA